ATTTTCACAATTGTTTTGTTAAACGGTAAAACATCTTAATAGCGTTATCATTAGAACAACCCTGCATTTCATGTCAGCTTTTAAGTGGTAGCTACCCACATAATGTTTTGTTGTTGCACGGTATATCCCTTGTGGACCTCATGTTATGATTTAGTAGGGCAGCTTAGTTTTGAACTTCATTTGACTCATATAAACTTGTTATACAGGTATGATAGAGAAGAAGGAAACACAATGTTTGATACGACTGATGACTCGTCCTTGTTTTATGCAAACGATGCTTCATTTCAAAAGAAGGAAGCAGAGTTGGCAAAAAGGCTGGTATGTTCATTGTTTTTTTTTTCCTTTAATTTGCAGAGTTTTATCTGAACCGTATTTTTGTTGATGAATGAGTATTACACAGTGCTTTTTATTTAAAAAGAGAGTGGACTAAAGGACTGGAAGTTTCTTCTTTATTCTTCTAATTGTGATGGCTTCCTAAGATGGAGGAGGCTAGTAAGTGAATATCCTATTGGTTGAGAATGTGAACTCGAGAGTGATGCAAAGTCATAGAAAAGAACCAATCATTGATGCTCTAACATTTATTTAGTAACATTTGTAAATATGATGAATATTGAATACTCACATCAGTTGTACTTAAATAAATTTTCAGTCATCTCTCTGATTGTTACCTGTCTGATTTGTTATCTCAGTCTAACTTGTTTAGTGGCCAAATTTATTCATTTATTATGTTAAGTCAGATTGTATATTGGCCGAGGTGTACTGGCTATGCTTGTATTTCTGTCATGGTCACTATATGTCTTGTTTTTCTTTTCAGGTCCGAAAAGATGGAACTAAGATGTCTCTTGCTCAGAGCAAAAAGTTGTCTCAACTCACTGCTGATAATGCTCAGTGGGAGGATCGTCAACTTTTAAGATCTGGTGCTGTTAGAGGTACCGAGGTGCAGACTGAGTTTGATGATGAAGAAGAACGGAGAGTCATTCTTCTTGTCCATGGTAAGAAAATAGCATAAGCGCATGACTAGCCATATCACATTATTGATGAACTATTTGCTTTTCTGTTTATGAATAGAAGATGGAAATCTCTGTTTGCTATAATATCTACTACTGTTATGATGTTATCCCAGATACAAAGCCTCCCTTCCTGGACGGCAGGGTTGTTTTTACCAAACAAGCAGAGCCCATAATGCCTATAAAGGATCCGACATCGGATATGGCCATAATTTCACGCAAAGGATCTACTCTGGTTAGGGAAATTCATGAGAAGCAAAGTCAGAACAAATCACGTCAACGTTTCTGGGAGCTTGCAGGTTCCAAACTGGGTGATATCCTTGGTGTTGAAAAAACGGCGGAGCAGGTATATTGAACTTATGAGAGGAAGTTCTGATTTTTGCTTTGCACTATTAAGGTTTGGGACTAAGCATTTCATTTTTTTAATGCTAGATTGATGCAGATACTGCTGCAGTAGGTGAAGATGGTGAAATTGATTTCAAAGAAGATGCGAAGTTCGCACAACATATGAAGAGCGGGGAGGCTGTGAGTGATTTTGCATTGTCAAAAACACTCTCACAGCAACGACAATATTTGCCCATATTTTCTGTGCGAGATGAGTTATTGCAGGTATAATGTTATCTGTTTGTGTCTAATGCTTTGTTTGGTTTGGAAAGAAATAATATCTAGCAGATCTCTCACTTCCATTGAGAATTCGAACTGTCATTATTAATTAGTTTCAGTGACCTGTGATGCTGATGTTTTGTTTACTGATCTCTCTCTTCCACTAGGTTAGGCCGTATATTTAAACATTATATTCTAACCCTGATTTAATATCCATTGGATAGGTAATTCGAGAAAATCAGGTTATTGTTGTTGTTGGAGAAACTGGTTCTGGAAAGACAACTCAATTGACACAGGTAAGTTTGCTTTTATAAATATCGTATCATCAAATTCTCTCTCATTTTTTGGATTTATGAGAGTGGATGCATATGAACGGTGTACTCCATTACCTGGCATTCATTATGTTGATTTTGTTGACAGTATCTTTATGAAGATGGATACACAGTAAATGGTATAGTGGGTTGCACCCAACCAAGGCGTGTAGCAGCCATGAGTGTTGCAAAAAGAGTAAGTGAAGAGATGGAGACTGAGCTTGGTGATAAAGTTGGCTATGCTATTCGTTTTGAGGATGTGACTGGGCCAAATACCATAATAAAGGTCATTTTTTTGTCTGCTTTTTAAACCAATATTTGCCCATATTTTATAGAGAAGTACAGCTTACCTATGGTCATAACCTTTACATCATTATATTAAATCTTGCCTTTTTAATCTTTTGCAGTACATGACTGATGGAGTACTTCTGCGTGAAACGCTCAGAGATTCTGATCTTGACAAATACCGGTATGAAAATTTCCAAATTTTGGAAAAGCTCTTTATCTCTGAATTTAACTGGTAATTTACCTTCAGCACAAAATTATTTACTGCCAAGGTTTTTGCTTTTGCAGTGTAGTTGTCATGGACGAAGCCCATGAAAGGTCACTAAACACAGATGTGCTGTTTGGAATTTTGAAAAAAGTGGTGGCCCAACGTCGTGATTTTAAGCTCATTGTGACATCTGCAACTCTAAATGCTCAGAAATTTTCAAATTTCTTTGGGAGGTAATTTTAGTTAAGTTGTACCATTGTCATGGTGTTCGCATCAACTTGCTCTGCTTGCTTAATATGACTATTTATTTTGTTGCAGTGTACCGATTTTTCACATTCCTGGGAGAACGTTTCCTGTAAATGTCTTGTTCAGCAAAACCCCATGTGAAGATTATGTTGAAGGTGCAGTGAAGCAGGCCATGACAATTCACATCACGAGCCCTCCAGGTGATATCCTCATCTTCATGACAGGCCAAGATGAGATTGAGGCAGCTTGTTATGCGCTTGCCGAGCGGATGGAACAACTTATCTCGTCCTCCAAAAAAGCAGTTCCAAAACTCTTGATACTCCCTATATATTCACAGTTGCCTGCTGATTTGCAAGCCAAGATATTCCAAAAAGCTGAGGATGGGGCACGTAAATGCATTGTAGCAACCAACATTGCTGAGACTTCTTTGACTGTGGATGGAATATATTACGTGATCGATACAGGCTATGGTAAGATGAAGGTATATAATCCTCGAATGGGTATGGATGCTCTTCAAGTGTTTCCTGTTAGTCGTGCAGCTGCTGACCAGCGTGCTGGGCGTGCTGGTAGAACTGGGCCTGGGACATGTTATCGGCTGTACACAGAGAATGCATATCTAAATGAATTACTGCCTAGTCCTGTGCCAGAGATTCAGAGGACTAACCTTGGTAATGTGGTGTTGTTGCTCAAGAGTCTTAAGGTCGAGAACTTGTTAGACTTTGATTTCATGGACCCACCTCCCCAGGACAATATTCTCAACTCTATGTACCAATTGTGGGTCTTAGGTGCCCTGAACAATGTCGGAGGCTTAACTGAACTAGGCTGGAAAATGGTGGAGTTCCCATTGGACCCCCCGCTTGCTAAGATGTTATTGATGGGTGACCAGCTTGGATGCTTGGATGAGGTTCTGACAATTGTGTCTATGCTTTCGGTGCCATCAGTGTTTTTTAGGCCTAAAGATAGGGCAGAGGAGAGCGATGCTGCAAGGGAGAAGTTCTCTGTTCCGGAATCTGACCACTTGACGCTGTATAATGTCTACCAGCAGTGGAAACAACATCAGTATCGGGGGGACTGGTGTGGAGATCATTTTTTGCATGTTAAAGGCTTACGAAAGGCTAGAGAGGTGAGGTCCCAACTGCTGGAGATCCTGAAGACGCTAAAAATTCCTTTAACATCCTGTTGGCCCGATACTGATCTTGTGAGAAAAGCCATATGCTCCTCGTACTTCCACAATTCTGCAAGATTGAAGGGAGTTGGCGAGTATGTGAACTGCAGGACCGGGATGCCATGCCATTTACATCCGAGCAGTGCTCTTTACGGTATGGGGTGCACTCCAGATTATGTGGTTTATCATGAACTGATTTTGACGGCAAAGGAGTACATGCAGTGTGCCACGGCGGTGGAGCCGCAGTGGTTGGCCGAGTTGGGGCCCATGTTCTTTTCTGTGAAGGATTCAGATACATCGATGCTGGAGCATAAGAAGAGACAAAAGGAGGAGAAAACAGCGATGGAGGAGGAAATGGAGAACCTGAGGAAGACTCAAGCGGAGGAAGAGAAAGAAAGCAAGCGGAAGGAGAGGGAAAAGAGATCAAAGCAGCAGCAGCAAGTCTCGATGCCAGGTTTGCACAAGGGATCTTCTACATATTTGAGGCCAAAGAAACTTGGCTTGTAAATGCCAATTGTTTATAGTACTGTTACTTGATTCTGCCCTAGTTTTGTGGTCGATCGTCAACCTTTAAACACAAACCACTAAACCGATTTGTGCTGTAACCACCCTGGATTCGGAACAATCCATAAGACCCGCGAACAATGTGTTACGCTCCAATCCACTCGAGATTTATAATACGACTTGAAAACTTTCTTTTCTAAGTTGTATATCCTATTCCAAGATCCTGGAAACCGAAATAATCAGGTTCATGTACACAGCAATGACAATCTGTGATATAAACTGCAAATAATGGCCATCACTCCCTACAACAAAGTGGTCTTTTAGCGAAAAAAGTTCAGTGAGAAGACATATTTCTCTCGCTATATGACACTCTGCAAGAATATCATTCTGTCATTTGCAATAACTGACCCAATTTTGATCACTATAGAAAAAGTGAAAAGTAAAGAAAAACATAACTACACGTGAAATATACGACCAATTTATTGTTATTAGACTTTGAGTAAAAGTGAAAAGTAAGATGCCTTGGCGCTCGGATTCATCCAAAATAAGCCCGTGTGGGATTCGAATGCAAGGAATCCGTTTGTGTGTGTCTTGGACGTGCAATTAACGTGGCATGAAAGCTCCCTACACAAGCAACTCAAACTTTAGGAAAGCACTACCTAGCACCTCCCACAATCGATGCCCTACAAGTAAACAAAAGCTTTCATTGATTGGAAAGTGACCGTTGCTCAAATGCTAACGATTTTACATGGTTGGACCCAACGACTGCATAAGCCAATGCTTAGCTTTCAAGACCAATAAACTTGTTCACCAGATTCTAGTTGAGCCAAACAAACCTTGTATCACTGCCTTAATGTACAAAACCAACCATGTAACAAACCCTCCACATCTTCTTGAAGAGATGGGAAATTGTGTTCCAGTTCATAAGACCCAAGACTCTGCTTCAAATCTCAAATGTTCAAGCGATTCCCGGACAGAATGCATCCTGATTGAACGCCCTGTTCGAGAAAACTCCATTGGTACCGCGATCTCCCATGCGAGCAGTTTTCAAGAACCAAGTATTTCTATACTAACTTGTCCTGCTAAATTCATGGCTATCATGTACTTGTAGCCCGAAAACTTTGATTTTATCGAATTTTACTGTTTTGAGTATATACTTGTTACTTTGTAGGTGGGAAAGAGTTAGAATCTGATCGTGAAGATTTCTTCAGTGTCAATGGTGGTAAGAACTAAGATCAAGTAAATTTCATCAATATTTTTACTGTCACCTCAGAAAATGTAATGTCGAGTTCGACGTTTGGTTATTTTATTTTATTTTATGCAGATCTTACCCCATCTGCAAGCAACACTCCGATCCATGAAATAAAAACTGATGCGAATAAGCAGCTGATTGAATTGTTCCATGAGAGCGACAGCGATGGATCAGAAGACGAACCTTCCATTTTCGACCTGCCACAAAATTCAGCAAATAAAAGTCTATCGTATGAGTCTGTAGCGGACATAGTTTTCAGAAGTGTGACAATTCCGAAAACGAATTTGAATCCCAGCAGGACAAGAAAAGTTACACAGTTTGCACAATATTGCTGTCTGCCTAAACTGGTGCGGAGCCTAAGCTGTAGTGAGAGGAAGAGACGCTACCGATGCCAATGAGTTCTGCTTCCAAAGATTCAAGAATGTCCAATTACTATTTGAATAGTGGGAAAATACCTTATTGTTGTTGTTGTTGTTGTTGGTGGATGTACAGGCGAAGCTATAGAGGGACAGGGAGGGGCGGTCGTCCCTCCCCTCGCCAGAAATAAAGCCTAGGAGAGACGGAAATCAAGCCTAGAAGCGAGATTCTGCCCCTCTGCTTACTGCTGCTACTTTGTTGCGGCTCTGTTGCGAGGCTGCGATGATTGTGTGATAGCATATTAGTTGTTTATATTGAGATAGATGTTTTTGCTTTTATTAATAATGAGTCTATTAAGCGATGTTTTCATGACATAAACTTTCGCCGTTAACAATTGTAACTTGTTTGTATTGATAAATTAAGAACGACATTAATATTATCTACTATCTAAAATGATTTGATTGTCTACATTTTCTTGGGACCATTTATCCTTTGAAATTTTGTCCCTCCTCTAGAAAAAATCCTAGCTTCGCCACTGGTTGGATGAATGGTAACTTTGCAGAATTCTATGAATATATATCTTGGTGTTTGGTAAGTTGATAGGTATGTGTTGAGAACATGTTTCAGGAATCTTGTACTGCATAAAGAAGCCCTCAATTTTAGTGGAAATTTTGAGTGTCATCGATCTAAAATGGTGTGAGAGTGTCTCATTCAGCATGTGGCTGAGGGGTACGACGTGTTTGGGATCAGGTAGAACATCTCCGGTTTTGGATTCATGAAAAGAAAGTGAGATGTGATGTGATGTGATGTGATCTAGTCCAAGTCATGTGAGCTGGCAGTAACCAAAACATGGTGTCTCGAGCATTATGCCTTTAGATACGTAATAGTTCGGCGTATATCAACGTACATGTGAGCGGATTAAACCAATATAAGTCAAATAAGTATAAACCACACAAGGGTATGGTGCGGCTTCTCAATCTAGACGAGAGTAATGTTAGGTAGAACAATTTTGAAAACAAATTTACAAATTATGTGATGTGTAATCAATAAAAATAAGCGCGAATCATCACTGTTTTTTTTTTTTTTAACAAACGACATTATATGCACTAAGAGATGGAGAAGTGAGATAAGTCTCACAATAGACTAGCAATAATATGATGTGAAGTGAAACAACATTGTTAAAGAGACTTGACCATAATTTCCGTCGATATTTTCATAAAATTTGCGCATCGATATTTCCACATATGTTGATATTTTAGTGGGTTGGTTTGAAATTGTGGTGCTTAAAAAAAAAAAAATGTGATTTTTAAAAAATCTGCTGTCAATGATGGTAGAAAAGCAGAAGCAAGGTCTACCATGCTTCTAAATTTTTTTTTAAAGCACAGGAATCAGTGTCCATTTAATGAAATTTTCAAAGGCAAGTATACCCCACATTTTCTAAGATTACAATCTTTGCTCCTACATTATTGTCTTTGACAATTATTTATCACATTAAATACCAATCCTTCTTAGTCATTCAACATATTCATATCAATTTATATAAAAATTTACCAAGCACTCACACACTGGTTTTTTATTTTTTATTTTTTTTGAAGCACTTTACAGTAAAATTTTAATAAATACTCAACAACTTTATGCTACAACAGTTTATTATTCTATCACATTAGAAACAATATTTTTTAAAAGAACACCAATGCCAAAGAAGACCTGGCCCAATTAGCTTAAGAAGATCATAATAATAAAATAAAAAGGAATTGTTATTAGCACTTCAAAAATCTCATTTTACATTCCAAATTTTCCATATTAGGAAAGAAAAATACACTTGTAAAGAGTGTAGAATGAAATTTTTGGAGTGCCAATAACACTTACTCAAATCAAATTATGATATAACAGGACACGTGGCTTAGTGGCGGTGCGTAAAAATTGGAGCGTAACCTTTTCAAATTCCCATGGTATTTGAGCATTGGTTTCCCAGATACGTACTCCGACTTAATCATACTGACACTGGATTCTTACGCTTATGCAATCAGACTTTTCAGTCTTTGAGTCAAGCAAAGTAAAATGTCAGGAAGTGAAAGAATTGCTCGAAGCAGAGCCAAATCCCACAGAGATCATGCCAAGGACGACGATGACTTGGACGGCGTTGATCTCCGTCAGACACAGCCTCCCAAATTGATGCCACCGTGCAGAGATTCCAGAACCAGAAACCACCACACCTCAGTCGGAACTTCCAACTCCGTCGGTCTCAAACGCACGCTAGGGCTTGGCGTGTTCGCCTTCTTCGTCGCCATGCTTTTGATCCTCGACCTCTTAAACCGTTTTCCAGGTCCTAGGGTTCTTACGCCCTTCACTGCTTCCTCAAAGCTCATGGAAACCCCTCACCCTCAGGTATTGTGCGATTCGAATTTTTGTTTTTGATGGTTGCGTGTGTTTATTGAGAGGTCAGGAATTGAGACTGAGATTGCATTTTGGGGTGGTGTGGCAGTTTTTTGAAGGTGATGAGGAGAATACCAAGGAGAGCTTGTATTGGGGAACGTATCGCCCTCGCGTTTATCTCGGAATCCGTGCCAGGTTTGTCCTTGTGGCTGCGATTCGTTGCGTATTTCAGCAGCGAATTTGAGCATATAAGTTTAAGTCGGAAGTAATTGTGTTACTCCAAGCAATAGAACTAGGCTGCTCTGTTAATTTTGACTTTGTGGGTGGCAAATGACTGTATGGTGGTGGTGCTGGTGGTGGTGGTCATTATAAACTGTTGTCCCTTGCAGGACTCGTCGATCTTTGATTGCCGGATTAATGTGGATTGGTATGAAGGACGGGCAATATTTGTTGCGCCATGTTTGCCAAGATTCTGATGAGCTGAGCATATATAGTTGGAAACATCGTAAAGACCAAAACTTGGGACATCAAGTCATTGTTGACCACGACATGAACTTGGCCACAAGTTTCTTCCAATCTAAGGGGGAAGACAGCGGCTATGGAGGAGATTGGGCAGTTCGAGTTGATGTGCGAAGCCAAAAGTAAACAGCCACAAGTTACTTTGTTCGGTAACATTTGCTTTAGTCACTCACTATTCGTGAGTCTTATATTGACACTTTCCATCATGCGTCAATCACAGGCCTAAGGGGAACGAGGAATTTCGGACAAATGCGGATCTTTTTTTTTATTTGGCTGATGAAGATGGAAATGCTCTAGCTTTAGGTGGAGATACATTGGGCGTTCATAAGAATTATTTCCTTGCATCTGGTTTACGTACAGATGTTGGAAGTTGGCAGCTACATTTAAAATCATTGGTAATGTTAGGAAGGAATCGTCATTGTAGTGTTCAAATGTTTTTTTTTTATTTATTTATTGAAAATGTCATATAACGGTGGAAACTAGGAAAATATCTGTTTCCATGAACCACCAAGTACACTTGGTCTACCTCCATGACATAAAAGTGAACTCCCATAGAGTACCATGGTCTCTGTACTAATTACTTTAAGGTTATAGCTAACACTAATGAATAATCTGACCAATTCGTCAGTTTTCTGGACAAAACCAAATGCTCTCTCTCACTGTCCAGTGTTTATGAAAAAAATTTCACCTTGTATCTATCATCTCTATGCCCAATTTCACCGTCAGTTCCATGCTCCATGTCCTTGATCATTTTTAAGTTGATGTGTGTTGTTAAGGCCTTCAGTACTGATATGTGGCATACTTCCTCTGTGTTTTCTCTCCAGGATGATTTGGAAGTTCATTATTTAGGTCTTAAGATGCCTCGTATTCACAATTTATCTGATCTTGTCCAGGAATATATTGGACCACAGGTATGTGACATTTTCATGCCATTATTTTGTTATATATCTAGGAAGAACTGTCAGCGTAAATATTTATGGTATTACCTACCTTGACCACTTGGAGTTTCACTGCCATGTTTCTAGCTAAGGAAGTTTGGTCGAGTGCAGCTACCTGACGTATCTGATGATTCTCCTAATATTCTAATTTTTCAGGTATGTAATCATGGTGGTAAAGCCTGTAGAGTAATGGTTATTTGGGGAAACATCTTAGTTTTCATAGATCATTAGTGAAATCTATCAATTGTACTTTCCCATCTACCTCCTTCTTTGGTTTCCCATTTCTTATGCAGATTTCCGCAAGGATACCCTTCAAGACTGATTTTGCATACATATCCGGAACTGATTTGGAAAGTTTAAGAGTAGAACAACGTGTCAGCGGCCTCACAGGTTCCTCTTCCATTTGATCGTGATAACGGTGATAGAAGCGCACAGGGATTCCAATGAGTTTATGAAACTGTACAAGAGACATTCATAAATGTGAAAGAGAAAATTATTTCAAAAAAATTAAAGAATTTATACTCTTTCCGTAAGGGATCTTTAGGACTGAATCAGAAACCGCTGATTCACAATCAGAAATCATTGATAACCTTACCATCAATTTTGGGTTTTTTCGAGTACCACAAATTGCAATCCTACTTTCTGCTTTTCTTGTGTTTGATTTACCCGATTTCATGGAAGTGACTCCCAATTGGGACATCATCCATGGCCTCCTTAACTTATTTTTCCTTTCTCTGTAATATGTAGGTACCTCACTGACCAGTCAACTGATGGCAAAACAAAGAGAATTCAACACAAAATTTGACAAGAGCTTTAATCTGTCTAACAAGGTATTTCAGAAATCATCTTCGTAGTATAATGCACCTGGTCGAATGTATTTTCACTGAAAGTGGGAATATCTACAGTAGTTACAGAATTACTGTTCTATAATCATTTTGATATTTTGGATAACATGGTGAAAACGTAAGCTATGTTTGTGCGAGGGACTTTAAAATTTCGAAGGATTGAGGAAGAAATAGACTACAAAGTGGGATTAGAAATGCTATATAATCATTACGAATAGCCTGTCAAAATTATCCATTGGGGTTCTTGATAGATCTCTATCTCGTTGGATTTTTTCATAGTATTCAAAAGCTGTAGAACTAAGTGATGTTTTTATTTATTAACACAGGTAGATCAAGTCACCAAGTTCGATCAGCATGCTCCTCCCAGTTTGGCTAAGCAGGTTATGAGCCAAGCTCGCAGTTTTATCCAGAAAAAATGGGAACAGACCCAAAGATTAGCAAAGGATGCTCAAACTGGGGACACACGCACGGTTATTCATTCTGCAGCTACCGAATATAAACAGCATCTCTTAAACCAATCTTCAAAGTTGTGGATGGACCACTACCCTAAAGTCCAGAGCGTGATGAAGAAGACTGCCTCAGCAGCTGCGTACTGGTCCACAAAATACAACCACATGGTAAAGAACTTGACCCTGATGGGTTATAACATATCAAGCTTTGGTTCCGATAGATGAGATGGGCTTTTCCAAAAGCCTATAAGCAGGACGAGGCACGAAGAAAGGAAATGCAGCTATGCTTTTCGAGCATAAACTCGTTCAGATTGAAATCTTCGCTTGTTTGAATTTCTTTTGCTACTTCTAAGTTCAATCTGTATGGTATAAGTTATTTTAGTATGGGGTTTGTGGGTGAGGACGAAGTGTGTGAATAGTTGTAACGAGAGAATCCAGAAATTCTAAGCTTTTCTTGCACGATAAGTATCAACATATGGTTCATCGATTACATTTTATCCTTTCAGGTTTGTAGTCAATTGCAACCTTATAAACATCTTCAAAACATTTCAATCTCATACACCTCTTAATATTTTATTTCAATTTTATATATCCGTTAGTCAAAACATTAGTTTGAATGTTAAATGATGATGTAGCAAATATATTACTTATATTTTTATTGATATGACAGTCAAATTTTGTACGTGAAAAAAACAGATCAGAAATAAAAAAAATTGGGGCACACTCCTCCAATCCTACGACATCAGCTTGACCTTCCAAGCCATCCCGATCTTCCTCGCCCAAAAGGGTTTTGCCACCTTCGTATTTTTAACATTCACATTTGGGCCGAGTTTTCAAAGTCCCTTGGAGTTTCGGCCCCAAATTAGTGGGCCAAGAAGTTGGGCCCATTAATTTCGGTTTACAACACCCCACAATTTTTCACACTTACTCTCTGAGTCAGTCGAGACTTGAAAGTTGAAACAGATAACGGATAGTGAAAGTCTAAAATGGCCGGAACTGGAAGAAGCTACCGGAGCAGAGTCAGCTCCTCCAGAGACGGCATTGACGGAGACGCTGTTCCTCTCCGCCCAACTCCCAATCTTCGGCCGCAGAGAGGTAGCAGAGGCAGAGGCAGAGGTAGAAATCAAACTTCAATCGGAATTTTCAACCTCGATCTCAAAGTCCTGCTAGGGCTCAGCGCGATCATCTTCTTCGCCGTCTTGTATTTTATCATCAACCTCATGAACCATGCCGAACAAGCTCAGACGCCGAGGGTCGTCACGCCCTTCCCGGCTCCAAAGCTCATGGACCTCCCTCAGGTATTCGATTTTTCTTCGTTGACTATCAGACTATGTAATGTGTGAATTCTGTGAGTTGATTGTGCATTTTACCGGTTGTGGCAGTTTCAAGGTGAGCACAAGGAAAGCTTGTATTGGGGAACATATCGCCCGAACGTCTATCTCGGAATCCGGGCTAGGTATGCCTTTTGCATTGCCGATCTTAAATTTCTTTTCTTGAATTGTTTGTTTAGAATTCATGTTCATTTAGTTGATATCGTAGGTTGTGTCGGGAATTTTGAGCATAAATTTATGTTTTGGAGTAAGTTTGTTACTCTTGTCACTAAAACTAGGCACTTGATCAAATTGTTGATCAACATTTGTTTCTTGATGTCCACGATCTTGCACTTTATCGCGTTTCACTATGTTGACGGATGCATTGCTTTTTCTTTTATGTATTTTAGACTTTGCGAATGATGTGGTGGTAATTATAGCTGTTGCACCTTGCAGGACTCCCCGGTCTTTGATAGCCGGGTTAATGTGGATTGGTATAAAGGATGGGAGGCATTTCATTCGGCATGTTTGCCAAGATTCTGATGATCTGAGTAAATATGGTTGGGCACAACATGATGGGCGCAGTTTTGGACATCAAGTCATTGTTGACCAGGACATGAACTTGGGAACAAGTTTCTTGAAATCCAAGGGTGAAGACAGTGGCTATGGCGGAGATTGGGCAGTTCAAATTGATGTGCAGAACCACAAGTAAATAGCCTGGCTTAATTCTGGAATGTTTGCTTTATTAAATGGACAGGGTATAGGCATAAGTGAGGTGACTTTATGATTGATTGGACGGTGTGAGGATAATACTTACCAGTATGCTGATGTAATGAAGAAAAATGCGTAGAGGGCTTTTTTTTTTTTTTTTAATTTCTCTGTTGGGCGTTGGGATCCTTCCCAGGTGGGGGCACGGTTGTGGCATTTTTATTTCTAACAATAGATGGAATTGGCCAGGCATTCTTTATACATGAATCTTCTATTGACTCTTTTCATTATGCTTCCAGATCTAGAGGGAATGAGGAAGCTTCAAGAAGTGCACATCTCTTTTTCTATTTGGCCGATGAAGATGGAAATACTCTAAATTTAGGTGGAGATACCTTGGACATTCATGAGAACCCTCTCCTTGCATCTGGTTCACGGATGGACATTGGAAGTTGGCAGCTACATTTAAAATCACTGGTAATGTTATGAAGAGACTCGGATAAAAAAAGTATATCTTTTATTTTGAAGGACAAAGTCATATGAATTATGATGAGGAAATATATTTCCATGAACGTATTCTTGGTCTACCTCATTAAGATAGGATCCATTGAATGCTGCCAGGGTATCATGCTCTTTGTGGTATTCGTGTTAATAGCTAAAAATAATTAATAATCTGGATAAATTTGTGGATAAAAATTCATATCCTTTCTTATAGCTGGAGTATTTATGATAAAATTCCACCTCATGTCTCTTGGAAAAATCAATGTTAGTTCCGGCTTGGGACAGAGCAATGATAGCTTCACATGTGCTAGACTAGAGCCAACGTGAAAATTAGGAACAAATTGGACTAAGTAGGAAAATCTTTAGAACATGAGGGGAAAAAATGGAAAACCCTCTAATAACTTACTCAACAAACCCACCCAGCCCACCCCATCCTAACTTACCCCCATCATTAGGTCACAGACACCCCAAAGTCATGGCTTGTCCATCACTGGTTCCACCTAATCTGCGTTGTTACTCATTTTTCAATTGCTGTATATTGTTGAAGGCTCCAATACTGATCCATTACTTCTCTGTGTTTCTTTTCAGGACGATTTGGAAGTTCATTATGCTGGTTTTAAGACGCCTCATATTCACAACTTATCAGATCTTGTTCAGGAGAATCTTGGACTACAAGTATATCAGAGTTTCATGACAAATTTTATTATATATCCAGAAATAAAAATCAGCTTTTTAATATCTACAATTCTTGCCTTGAATGCCTGGATTCGCTTCCATGTTTCTAGGTAAGGAAGTTTGGTCGACTGCAGCTACCTGATACATCTGTTGACTCTCCAAATATTCTAGTTTTTCAGGTACATGGTGGTAAAGAGTACTACTTTTTTAGTCTAACTAATCATTGATCATTATTTTTCACTCTTGATTTTTCTTTCTCATCTACCTTGTCCTGTGGTTTCTCATTGTTATGCAGATTTCTGCTAGGGCTCCTTTCAGGACAGATGTTGCATTCATATCTGGAACTCGTTTGGAAAGTTCAAGAGTAGAAGAACGTGTCAGCAGCCTTACAGGTTCGTCTTCCATATAATCATGATAAGTAACAATGATAGAAGCACAGGAGGGTTCCACTGAGTACACGAAAGCATCTAAGAGACTTGAAAATGTGAGAATCATTAAATAAATCGAGCTCTGTGTCAGGCTTCCATTAAGGGGTCATGAGGACTGAATAATTGATGTTTCACAGTCATGAACTCAAATGTTGATCCCAATGTTATTCGTCCAAGTCTTAATGCTATTCCTTCAAATTTGGGCTTTGTCAAGAACCAGAAATTAGTATCTTGCTTTCTGCTATTCTTTAATATCTGTGTGTGCATTTCATGATTTCATGATTGACTTCCAAGTTAATGTTTATTGCCCTTAACTTTTAGTTAGTTACTCTATAATCAAGGTACCTCACTGACCAATCAACTGAAGGAGAAACAAAGAGAATTTGACACAAAATTTGAGAAGAGCTTTAATCTGGTTGACAAGGTACTTTGGAAATCAGTTTCCTAGGACAGTGTATGTTGTTACAAACTATTGAACTGTGTCTGCTATTTGAATGTCATGTTGAAAGTGAAATATTAATATGTAATCACACAATTACATGAAACATTGAGTATTGTTTATTGATATACTTGTGATTTTGGATGACATGGTGAAAAAGAATAAGCCAGTCCATCCTGGTAGCTTAATCTGATGAGCTTGTCCGCCATTTTCAATTTTATATTGTATCTATAGGAGTTTGGGAGTCTTTACTGTCTTTTGGCCACACAAGGCAAAACCTTATGGCATTAGTGGGCATGTCTTGCATTTCAGTAGGACAGTTGAGGCTGGTGTTCTACATATGCAGTTACAAACACTGACGTTAAAAAATTTAACAAAACTGAGATAGTTATGTGCATCATGAGAATTGAATTTTCACATAATGTACTTAAATATAATTGTACAACAAAAGACTTCTAAACTCGTTGTTACTATGCTTTCAGCTTGATTCTGAATCTATTGTTGCTGGTAAGGCCGCTATAGCAAACTTGTTGGGTGGCATTGGCTACTTCTTTGGCCAGTCAAAAATTGCCGTCTCTGGGGATATGTTAGTAAGTTATTGGTTAACTCTATGTGCTATTGGTCTTCCTATTAAAACTTTTTACTTTTCCTCTGTTTTCACAATTTTGTTTCTTAAAGAAAAATACTTCATTTTCCAGTTTCCCTCTTTATTTCCATAATTTAGGAAAAAAAGCATCATATGACTAATTGCATGATCACACATGCTAATGGTTCCTGCTTAACTTAGTGTTAGTGAAATCCACCTCTTTTGCTTCCAAATATGAGCTAGTGCTGCAATGAAAAACCATGATGTTCACAACATTTTTAGAATATGATATCAGGGGGTTTTCATCACAATAACTATTTTCTGACAGAATAGTTAATTGAAAGTGACCAAATTATTTATTATGCCTGGTAATCACATCATTGTGGACATCTGACAAAATCATACAGTTGGCCGTTTCCTCTTGCAGCCGGGAAGTCATGATAATTCTATCTTATATTGGCCTGCTGAGCTTTACACAGCTGTTCCAAGTCGACCCTTTTTTCCAAGGGGATTTTTGTGGGATGAAGGTTTTCATCAACTTTTGATCTGGTGAGTTGTGTTTTTCAATATGCATGTTACTCCAATTTACTCAGTTAAGCTGCCGCCTTGTAATTTCCTGAAAAATTATAAAAATATGAAGTTAAGTACCTTATGACAGTGTACTATCTGCCTACTTCCTCGAAAATGGATACTTTTTCATATATGTATCCTTAATGTTGAGCAGGCGTTGGGATACACATATTTCCTTGGACATCATAGGACACTGGTTAGATCTGATGAATATTGATGGATGGATTCCACGTGAGCAAATTTTA